TTCCATCTGGGCTTGGGTTGGATGAAGAGGAATTAGAAGTGCACTGAGTGTGGGGATTTTTGCAAGTTGTTGAGCTATATAAGGTCTCGTTTTGAGAAGACAGGGTACTTGTGAGATGGGAGCAGAGACATAGTGGTAGTGAATAACAGAGAGTAACACTGGTGTGTGCTTCTCCCCTTTCTTATAACACAGAGATATTTGGCACCCAAGAGACTTTTGTTCCAAGTACAAGGACAGGTAGACTGGGCTTGTTCTCCTCCAGGACGAATAGCTGAGGCTGATAATGACCCAGGAAAACACGGTCACTTCATACTGCTCTTCTCTTTACAGATACTGAAGAATTTGTGAAAAAATGTTTACAACACAAGAGAGTCAGAGAATTCAAAATGACTGCCAGGGTTCTTGAATCGACGCAGAGCATCAAGGCTGAAAACCTACCAGACAGCCTTTCCCCAGATTACCTCACAGTTTACTTTGAGAGTGTGCAGAACAGAGGGGGGCCCGTGTCAGATGTCCAGCTCTTCCCTGAGGAGAACTCAGCCATCATTACTTTCTGTGATCCCAAAGGTAACCCTGTCCTGTGCCTGACCAAGTGCTCATAGGCAGACAACCTGCAAGCAAATCACTGCAGCTTCGGTCATTAGGGAAAGCCTGGCTGGCTGTCCCCAAAGTCAGCGTGTGCTGCCTTCTTCCTGAGTGCTCTGGATTTAGCAATACTGCTGCATGTCTAGGGTTTCAGAATCTCCTGTGATTTTGCTGGGTTTGGTTTCTTCTTGGTGTTTCTTTATCTTATGAAAGATTCCTTTTAATACCTGCTTTGTGCATGGTGCAGTAGTGTTTTTTCCCCATTTGCAGAGGTCTTTGTCTGCAACACTAATTGTACCTACAGGTAGAGAGAGCAGGCTCTGTCCATGACTTCAGCTTTCACAGTTAACTTTCTGAAACTATTTAGGATGAAATATCTTCATTTTAGGCAAGGATAGAGCCAAAGAACAATCTTGTGACTATTCCCTGTGTTGAATCACTGTCCTATTTTTGTGCTATGCAATACCTGGTAAACACCTCTGTGTTAGAAGAGTCCTGGTTTAGTGAAGTTGTTTCCTTTTAGTTAAAGATTTATCTGCCCAGTGATTGCTTTTGGTCTGCCTCCTAGAATTTTCTTAAGAATATTTTTTACACAAAGTTAATATGTAATTTGGATCATTATAATGTGGTTTTAAGTCACTGCCAACATTATAATTTCTTTGCTTAGTCCATTCCAACTAAAATGGAAAAAAAAAAAAAAAAAAGGTAAAATTCACTGGCACAAAGAATTTCATTGGAAGTTGAGGAGTATTTCATAGTATATGTTGGTATGGCCCTGCTCTGTAGTGGAGTTTCCTTAGGAAACAAGAGCAAGGTGTAGCTCTACATGT